CTGATCATTCATACATCATTCGATGCGCCGTGAAACGTTCTACAATATGTGTTAATAAGAAACTTAACGAAGCCTAACAGCGGTGTTTGGGTATTAAATACTGCGCCACTTTAACCTAGAATGGCTCTAAAAATTGTTCGCTACCTTTATTTTTGATTTTTCTCGTGGACCGTACAAGCTAGAACAGATTTGAAAAAAGATTTGAACTGTGCTGTATAAAAACGTTCCATCAAAATTCTCTAAACCAGTTCGCTAAACCAATCGTGTACACAGTACAACGATTGCTCAAAGGATGAGTATCGAGAATCAATAGTAGATAAGTTTGGATTTGCATAAGATGAGGCTGTATTCGAAATTTTAACGTTTCATCGTATTTCATTCCTTTGACTGTCATATGAAGCTTGTTCTTGCTTATGACGTTGTAAAACATTCGTAGTCGTACTTAGTTGAGATTCAATTCGTTGTAACCAATTCGTTGACAATCAGACGTAAGTTCGATTCGGTCTGTTTTTGTTGTCGTAAAACATTGCGATGTTGTTCGACAACTTGTTCTGCAATCATTTTATGTTGCATAGATGACGTTGTCTTTTGTTGAAGACTTGTTTGTTGCTGGTTGAAATCTTCAGAAGTATGATCCAATTCAGACCTATACTCGATTGTACGTTGTTCAGTTTCACTGTCTTTATTACGAAGCTCATTGCATTTATTTTTTATTTACTGTTCGAATTGCTCGTATGCTTTGATCAATGTATTCTTCAGAATGTTTTGTTATTGCAGCTCACGTTCAAGATATTCCGTATCCATTTTACAATCATCAATAATAATCTTTGTAGTGACGATTGCGGTGTTTTTGTCCACGTAGCATACAGAGCTCGATTTTGTTCGTTTGAAGTTGTTCTATTTGTTTAACATGTTCATCGGGAAGTTTGTTATTGGCATCTAAATCAGTATTGCACTTCTGTTCGAGTTCTGTCTTTTCTTTATTCAATTTCTTCTTTCCGTTTTTGAATTTATCGTCGTGCTTCGCGTGATGATCGATCGCCGCTTGTTTGTGTCGTCGAGCCTCATCTAATTCAGGTGTGCGGTCATTGTAGAAATCGTCGTAGATGACATCGTCGTTATCGACAATTGCATCGGTTTTAGCTTCAGCCACATGTGCAAAAGTCAATATATACAAATACAGACCAGAAAAATCACCTAATCAAAGTATAAATGAATTCATATCATTGTAGAGTCATGGATGTGAGTGGAAGTGTAAGAATGTAGGATTCGCCGTGTGAATAGGTAGATCCAGATCCCGATGTGAGTATTATATTTCTATGAATTTGATTGTGATTTTGTAAATAATATATCGGCAGTTAAAATTCAAACTATCTTGAGAGTGAGAGTGAGTGGATATGGGTATGATTATTATTTTTCTTTTTAATCAATATCCACGTCCATCGAAGATATCTATTTTGTATATTTCTCTCTAGATTACAAAAACCTGCTTTACGTTTTCACTCAAAGTTAGAACAAAGTTTCACTAGATAAAGACGTGTAGATTTTAAAAAACCAGTAAGAAAAAGTGCCGATCGATAAAAAACAAGAAACTTTTCCTAGTTTCTTTGACAAGTCTGTGTAATAGGTACTGTTGATCTAATTATCTGTATTTATTGTTACTTTATCCATTGCCGGTTTATAACGTTTTAAAAACTCTTCTAGACTTTTTTCGGCAGATGCATTTTTCTTGAAGTGTTCTTGTACAATGCTAATGTAGGTATCATTATTTATATTCACTTTCTCTTCTAATTCTGTTGGTAAGCCACATTTGCCTGTTTCACATGATTGAAATGAATCACCATATCTACGTAAACAACAAGCCCATAATAATTTCGGCATTTCTTGTTCAGGTAATTTTTTCCACATAGAACATTGTAGAATTGCTTGTGCATCCTCACTAGTTAATCGTTTATTTAGTTGATCAATATCAACAACAAAACTAGGATGATTATGACAATTTCCAGCTCGTGTTTCTTTTGGTATATAGTTTCATAAACATTTTGGACATTTTCTTGATGTTTCTTCATCAATACGTTTTTCTTCTTCTTTTTGTTCTTTATTTAATTGTGCAGATGATTTCTTAAATTCAATATCTTCGATCAATGTAGTTTTTAACCATGGATCTTTTACAATCATAACGATCCATTTTTGAATTTTAGTAACAATACCCTGAACAAAACAATTTCTAGAAAACATAAAATATTATCAATTAGTATTTACCTTTACCTCAACAATTGATGTTTTACATTTTTCTCGTATAAATTGATAAACACGTATATTTGAAATTGGTTTTGATTTTGACATATCGGAATCAGATTTATTTAACATAATTAATGAATCAATATCAAATATCAGCTTAGATCTATTGTATTCATTACATTCAAGAAATGTCGTGGTTAAGGGGGGGGGGGGGGGGGGGCCCCATTTTGGATTTTTCGTGGGGGTCGCGCGTTGGTGGGGGATAGTTCAAATTTTTGGGGGGTAGTTTTTGGGGGTTTCGGCGGG